ACGCAATATAAAATTGTAATAGAAATTGTCTTTGCAACACTACAAAACTATATAAATTACTCATAGTATTTCTTTATACCGTTATTATAAATACGCACACGTCAATCAGTTCCACAATAGTTACAGTACCGAGCGTGATTTAACTTTAATAATTGTAAAACGAAATAGATAATGTTTCATTCTAAATTTTTGTATACAGATTAACATTTTATATTGTATTGGTGATGCATGTAAAATTATTCAATAGCTAATTAACAATCCATAGCTCAAGAGTAAAGGAAAGAACTATATAGAAAGAGAGAAAGATAAGAGCTGGACAAGGGAGGAACACATGCACCCACCAACACCACCTAATTAACGAATCACGGTCTCTTATTATGACATTAGTTTTGATCAGCCGTAGACACTTCCATTGTATGCCCGCCATAAATCCTGCTGCTGTGGTGCACGTGGTAATTAGTATATGGTTCAAGCCCGATACATTGGGAACCCACGTCCTTGAAGTAAGCTTAATGAGAAGACCTCTTGATAGGTCTCATTTTGTTAAAGTGCAAAATTCAGACAAAGACTCTATCTTCACGTAAAACTTTCGCGTTAAATAATCACGTTAATAATCACATTAAATTTTAATTCAATATCTACATACGACGAACAAGACAACAATTACAGAGATTAAATAAATAAAAAACATGAGTGGACTGTATTTCATGTTAAAACTATATATTTATAGCCCCACGGAACACATTATGATTTTTGTTATGTTCAGATATATCACATAAGTATTTCCTGTAGATTGTAACGCACTATTTAAGATTTTGTAAACCATCTTTTTCCGTCAATCACAGTTTTGAAGAAAAATTTTTTTTTTTTTTTTTTCTTGAGTGTTTAAGGTCATGTTACGTTCCGAACAGGAATCTTTTTCAAAATTTCCTTTGTAGTTCTCACCGACCGGATGCGTATCGATAATGCGTATTGCATTCTGGGAACACCCTGATCGAACGCAGTAACGGTCTTTCAATGTTTATTAGATAGACTATCTTTTGGCGACTAAACTATGATTGTTAATATAACACATTCCTTCCTTGAAATCA